TCATTGACAAATGGTCGGCTGTCCCGAACCTAGTGCTTTCCAAGTCCTTGTTGCTGAAGACGCCTCCCCAGGTCAGTTTGGCAGCGCCTTGCAGCCGGGATGGGTTTACATTGGCGGGCCGGACTGTACCAAGGAGTGAGTTCATCAGCATCATAGTCATAGTCATAGTCATAGTCATAGTCATAGTCATAGTCTCTCTCTCTCTCTCTCTCTCTCTCTCTCTCTCTCTCTCTCGCAGGCAATAACATGTAAGGAGTATGCCACGGTGGTGACTAGGCAAGGCGAGGGAAATAGAGAGCAGAGGCAGGAGCATGAGGATCGAAAGGAATCCACAGTTTGGAGTACAAGAAGCGAACGAGTGATTGAGCAACAGCGACACGATCACCAAGAGCCTGACGACATGCAGCGAAACTGAGCAGAATATCAACAGTTGACGGCCGCTCCTCCAGAAAAAACGGTAGCAAGGAAGAACCTCAGGCCGAAAGAGACCTAACCAGACATAGTACACCACAAACAGTGACAAAGAGAATGGCCGGTAAGGAAACACTAGCGGGCTTGCCCCTCGAAGGTGTGCAACTTGATCGCCGGTGCACACGGATCCGGCTATGTTTACGAACCCCAAACCCAAAAGCCTAAACCCTAGCACGATGACAGCTAATACTTCTGCCAGAGCATCATACTGTTGATGGCATTTCCGTGGTCATCCAAAACAGAAGCCGTCTCGCACGGGTGTTTGTTTGCTTCTCCTTCGTATTCTGCTACACTGTGCCACAACTCCTACGTGTTGCTGAGACCATCGAAGCACTTCTCCTCGGCACTTTTCTTTCAGCACCAAGCTTGCTTACGCCTCAAGGTTCGGAACTTTCTTGAACTGCTCTCACCACGTATGGTTGCACCCCGCAGTGTCAGCAAATAGCCCTAAACCCTAAACCCTTAACCCTTAAAGCCTAAACCGAGGCAGACCGGAGATCTTGGGATGTCTTGGGGGTTTGAGGGCTTAGGGTTTTGTGGCTTTGGGTTTACGGGTTTGGGCGTCTATTGGTTTTGACGCTAAGGTTACGGCTTTAGGGCTTGGGCAATTACACGTAGGGCTTTCTTTCCGGAATGAAATCGGAAGCCAACGACACAAGAACAAGCAACACAGTATTCAATACTGGAGTTGCAGCCCTCCATACCGAACTCCTATAGCATGAAACTTCAGTCATGAACCAACCCAACCCTCAACCCCTGTTTGTTTGGGAACCATTTGAAAAACATCGCTGCCCACTTCTAAGAAGGAAACCTAAGGAATAACATTCACAATTATTCAGGGACCTTTACCCAGACCTAGAAATACTATCTTAGAAACTCTACTAGGAACGCTTATAGGAAGCATTGTAGATACCTTTAGCTATTCGTCGTCATGTAGGAACCATGCCCAGCCAAGTTGCTGATGTTGCTGGTCTTGAGCCCGATCCTGGTCTCTTCAATCTAGAGCTTTAGGGTCTTGTGGCTCGGGGTTTTGGCCTACGTAGGTTTGTTGGGTGTAGGACCCTTGTTGGGTTTGGGGCCCCGTGTATTCCGTGGTTTCGATGGTTTTGTTGGAAACGATTGCTGCAGAATCCTGGCCCGGCCGACTGTGTGGCTCCACACAACTGGGAGAATGCTGGCACCTTCATGACTTGAGAAATATAGGGGCCTGAATAATTAGAAATGGGTTTTGTGGCCCATGGTATAGTATAATTCCAATAAGGAACCCCCCAAAATAGTCCAGGTAATTATGAAGGCTTCTCTATAGTAGGCCTTGGAGCCCCTCAACCCTAAACTCCAGTACTTTCGAGGCCAAGGTCCTAGTTCATGGTTGGGATAGAACTAAAAGTTAACATTTTATTCCTTATTGGGCTTAAGTACCCGTAAGATGTAACATGCTACCCAACTATGACAAAGGGTCTGTGGCAAGAGAGTGAAGTCGCCCATGCTGAAGCAGCCGTGCATAGAGCCTTGGGAACTGAACTCAAGCACGATTTCGGGCGTGCATAGGGTTTTTTTGAACCTTTAGGTGTTTGACTTGAGACTTTCGGACTCGGAGGAGGCTTGAGGGTTCAGGATAGGGAAATTATCGCAGAACTGTTGGCCACCTGCTTCCCGTCAGCTTTAGGTACATGTCTTCATCCGCTGTTTAGAGCTGCGCGATTCAGGACTGAACTCCCAGCATCCGGAATCCAGAACTTCCTGCCCTTCATGCCTCCCGACCCACACTATCCGCCTTGGTATCTTGACCTAGTCATCAACGCACGTAGGAGAAATGACAAGACTCCTTGCGCCCGCTCCTGAAGTCTGAAGTGCAGTCATTGGCGCGTGTGTGTGTGTGTGTGTGTGTCCGCGTGTGTTTTTGTGTGTGTGTGGTATGTGCATCTGACGAGGAGTGTGTAGAATCTGGAGGCCTTACTAACGAGTGAAGCTTAGCACATTGGAGCCTAAGCCATGACGAAGACTTCGCGCCTAGCCATGTAGTCGGAGGAGATTTGACTGCCAGGGTGCTTGCCTTCTTTGACCTCTAAACTCCAAACCCTAAGCTGGTTGTAGGAACGGACGGTTTACGACGGATCAATTATGTCGGGATTGTGTCATATGGGAATGCAGGACCTGTGAAGTGTCTGGCTATCAGATGCTGGGGCCGCTGGAGAAACGTACGGTACACCCTATGCCCTTTTCAGCCGAGGAGCTGGAAATTACGGATGTGTGGGTAGCACCTACTGCTACTCTCCGCGGTCCCTTTCACGGTGTTGATCAAAGTAGGGGTGGCTGCAAGCGTATTGGCAATGCTGAGCGAGAGCCCACACTATCAAACTACTTACCTTGAATCCTCGAAACCTGAGAAACTCACTGCTTTTGATTACTGCGCAAACCTCTCAAGCTTCCGAAAGCATGGGCCAAAGAGCGGTTTGCTTCGGCAAGCCCCGCTGCAGAGAATCCTGCCTGCAGCCGGACAGGGAGCGTGGCAACCCCCTACACCCTAAACCCTGTTGCATCCGGGCTTGGGAAGTCGGCCGGGGAAGGTGAAAGGCAACAGCAGCATTGCGCGAAGCTGCAGCACTACTCACTACTGGCTACAGTTCAAACCCCAAACCCTAAACCCTAAACCGTCAATTAAGGCTTTAGGACTTTAGGCGCTAGGAGTTTAAGAGTGTGCGATTGGGGGTCGGGCCTTTGGTTATCACCCTTCAGTTGCAGAAGGCCGTCATCTGCCAAAAGTTTCATGATCTATATCTATATATATATATATATATATATATATATGTATACATTTATGCACTTTATATCGTAGAAATCTATTCTTATGATGTAAAACACACATACACAACATAAACAAACAAAAGCACAACACATACACACACACAAACAAATAACTACATCAAAATGAACAAGTAAATACATTAGCTAAAATAGACACCTATACATCTAGTGCATGACTCAGTAGCTTGGTATCAAGAGATCTGGAGGTTAGCGGGTTTACGGGACCAGCAGCCAGACCGAAATCATATCAGATCAACCAGTCAGGTTTTTGGGTTTAGGGCTATGAGGCTTTGGAGCTTCGGGGGTTCTGCATTTACGGGTTTAGGGCTCCATGCGCTACGAGCTCCTTAGGATATCACCATCTATAACTATTCCTCTCCTGCACAGCAGTCCGCTCGAGAGTAATGTAAGACCCGCAATAATCAGAATAAGGTGCTGGGGGTATATCATACTATACTCATAGTAAGAAAACCCAAGAGACTGTTGGGTTTTATCCTCCTGCATGGCTGGGTTCACGAAGCAGGGTACACCTTCTTGGTAGTTCTTTCGACCCCTGTGTTGTGCCACTCACACTCTTCCTAGTGCCACCCCCTGACCAAAGCAAAGGCCAGAGCAACGGTTGATGATATAAATCCTGCATGACCCATAATAAGGAATATACCATAATTTCCATAGTTTAGGGTCTTTAAGGTAGTGCAGGATTTGTATCATCAACCGAAGGACAGGCTCAGAGGATTCTTGGGCAGCTCCCACACGCCAATGTTCAGTGCCTGGCCTTTAGCTTTCAGGCCTGAACGTAGATCCCCAACTGGAAAGAGACCTTTTGCGAAGGGCCTGAAAGATTAGGGCTGTCTTTTGATGTTAGGATGAACACGAGAATCTCGAATCACTAGCTCGGAAAGAGAATTCCATTTATCAGTGACACCTGTGGGATTGGAGCTCCACTTCCAAAAACCCATCGCAGCACAGAACCCTTTTGGAACGAGGTCTCTCCGAAGTGCCTCCAAGTTGCCTGAGAACCCAAAACCCAAAAGCCAAACCCGAAGCTCCCAAGCTACTTACCTTTAGATGGCAGGGAATGGAAGAATGGTAGTAATAGTAGGTATAATTGTACCCCATTCCTCCATTCCCTACTAACCAAAGGTAAGGCTGATGCGGCCGTGAGGCTGTGCGAAGCTCCGAGAGGGAGAAGCCGCAGCTCCTGGTTTGCATCGGTCATTGGTGTACTTGGGGGATCATGGGACTTTGGTTATAAGGTCGCGGCCTCAGACGCAACGTGCAGCAAAAGTTATAAGTACCTGAATTGGGGATATAACTAACTATAACTGTAGTTACCTTAGTTATAACCCCAACTACTAAGTCCCATGATCCTTTAAGTATGAACCGAAGCGTTAGGGTTCAGGCTTAGGTTTCAGGGTCTAGGGTGCATGAACCGAAGGTTAGGGTTTAGGGGTTTAGGGTTTGGGGTTTAGTTTGTAGAAACCGAAGGTGTAGGGTTCAGGGTTTACCTGGCAGCTGACGGTTCTCATAGTAAAGATGTACCTGTATTTCGAATTCTCTCCTGTATAGATAGAACATTAGCAAGAAGTAATCTACTGTGTATACGTACTTACATCATGCGGTACTTGCGTCGTCGGGTCTGGAATGGTATACGTGACGGTTTTGCAGTGGAAAGCCTGCTGTGACCGCCGTTTCCTCGGTGTCCTTTGGAAGGGAATTTTCGGTCAGTTGCTTGCCCACAAAGGCGGCTTTTCCAAGAACAGGATCCGTGGCATTGGGTTAAAAATACCAAGTGCATACCTGCAACATCCAACATTTTCAAAAACCGGTCCTGCAACACCCAAAACTCAAAACCCCTCGACCTAAACAAAACAAGCTTCAAGCCCAAGCCCTGCAAACCGAAACTCCCAGAAAGCTCGGGGCTAAGAACGTCGTCGCATCGAAGCTCCTCAGCTCAACGATACCTAAACCAGCGCGCCGAAGGTCTGTGGCCGTGTAGCCTGCAGGGTTCGGGTTAGGAGTTTAGGGTTCAGGGTTGGCTTGAGTTTTAGCATCTTTTGTTGGGTGTAAGGAAACGAAAATTCTTCCCGGGCCAAGCTACTCTCGCGTCTTGCGATCGTGGTTGCTTAAACCTTGATAGCACACTCAAACAAACCCCAAAACGTAAAAGTTATCCGAACTTGGGCGAGAAACTCAAAACCTACACCCTAATCCTAAAACATAAGAACGGAACCCGAAACTTCCAAACCCCAACCCTAAACCACACGCCGGAATCCTGTCAACCCGGGCCTACACGACGGAGCTCCAGCGCAGAGAAGCCACCATCTTGGTAGAGTTTTCCTTGTGTGGCTTACGCAGCCCGGTCGGGTTTGGGTGAACCCCATACAAGGAGCCCTATTTGGGATACGAGCCATAACCTTAAGGATTACGCACGCAACAAGATTGCAGTCACTTGTTACACGAGTTTCCCATGGCTTATTTTCGGCGGGCTAGGTCGTTCCGGCAGCTACTGTATGTGCTGAGCTGTCGTGTTTGGCTATGCCCAACAAACTCAGAAAATTGTACTCTTGCTACTGGACCACTGAACCCCAATATGGGTGCATTCCTACCATGCCCAATAATAGCCAAAACAAGCAATGTTCAGCTTGAAGCAAATAGCGGTGCTGTCCGAGAAGCTGGCTGGTATCCTGATGGCTTCGAAGTCTTTCAACTTGAATCCCGACCTGAAACAGCTCAAGACTCGACTGGCTTTACTCTGACCTGCCAGGCCGTATATAGTAGAAGCCAGACAGTTGGAACATCAATACCCTCATGCGCTTAAGGTAACAGTATAGGGGATCCTAGCACCAATCCTCCTAAACCCATGTTCCAGCTTTTTGGGTTCCCCAGAGACTCCAATATTCCTTAATTTACAATAGGATCCCCAATATGATCTAAGGAATATTCCTTAATTAAGGGATATTGGAGTCTCTGGGTTCACTGTAAGACAAGAGCACCAGGGTGAGCCCAAGTTGACACCAACACTGCGGTCGGTACACCGAGCGGCAAGGACTGCAACCATCCTCTGTCACCCAGGTGGGAGTTTCCGAAAATTAGGGGTACCTTAGGGTCCTTATAATAAGGATCCTACTACTTAGGGTACTTTTTGAGGGTACCTTGTTTGGGGGTCCTTATATTAAGGATCCTACTATTTAGGGTACTATATTAGGGTCCCCTATCTTCGGAAACCCCCAGGTAGCTCCGTGCGAACCCAGCGGTTTGCACTGGTCTTCGCACACAGCCTCCATTGCGACAGGGGGCATTAGGAGCTCCTTCACGGTGAACCCTTCTTCGTAGAGTCCCGCACAGGTGCACGTCCTTGTGGGCCGGGCGGTGCACGAATCGGTGCTATCATGAGCTGTATTTCCGATGCTGTGATTGATTACAGCAACCGCACCTGTTGCTGCTACTTGGCTTCGCATGACTAGTACAGCAAGTAGTTCCATTTCCCGAAAAGGCCACATCTGGAGCTTTTTCATCCTAAAACCTATCCTAAACCCTAAATCTCCGAAATCCTCAATGGGCAGCCATGGTTCTGTGGATTCACTTCGCGATACTTCCGTCGCTTCATGAGCCGGACGATCACGACGCAGAACTGTGCGAAGTCCTGGAACTCTTGGCAAACTATGCTCCCGTTTAGGGTTTTAGGGCTTAGGGGCTTTAGCGTTTAGGGCTTTAGGGTTTTATGGTTTAGGGGTTTTAGGGTTTAGGGGTTTTAGCATTTAGGGTTTTCGGGTTTAGGGTATTTAGCGCTCAAGGGTTCTAGGGTTTAGGGTTTTAGGTCTAGGGAGTTTAAGGATTTTAGGGTTTTGGGCTTAAGGGTTTAAGCTCTACTGCGGGTTTTCCAGTTTAAACCTTCTACAGCTGGGCTCTGACGAATGCCAGATTCCCCCTGCCTAAGCCCTCAATTGAACCTTAAACCTTCAACTCCAAACATTAACACTAAACCCTAAAACCTATACATTAACCCTAAACCCTAAACCCTAAACATTAACCCTTTAAAACCTACACATCAACCCTAAGCCCTCTAAGCTCTTAGGGTTAAGGACCCCCCCCCCACCACATGAACCTTTCGAAAAAGGTATTTCGACTCTGAGGTTTTGGAGTTCTACTGGGTTCAAGTGGGGCTTAGAGGGTTCAGGGTCTAAGGCTGAGGCTTACTTAAAGGACCATGGGACTTAGTAAGTAGGCTATAATTGGGGTTATAAGTCCCCTAATTGGGGTTATCCTAATTATAACCTACTTATAACCTTACTTACAAAGTCCCATGAGCCTTTAAGTAGGTTTGGGTTTAGGGGTTTCGGGGTTTAGGACCATCCTTATGAACTTGATTTAAACGATGACGTCTCTGGGAACGATTGGAGTTTAGATTAACCTACTTGTCGGGTATCATGGGGAACTAAAGGTTACCTTTTTGGGTATATAGGGATTATATAGGGACTATACTACCAACAGAGGTTAAAGATTACCTACTCTACTAATAGCTTCATAACTTTAAGTGGCATGCACCTGGAATTCAACAGGGGCCAGGGGGCTTCATGAGGAGTTAAGTAGCTGCACGCAAACCTTGAGGTAGACTGGGTTCAGGGTGTTATCTTCGCGAAAAGTGCAACTGGGCAGGGTATGAGGGTCTTGTTGCAAGATGTTGAAACAATATGGCGATAAGGTTTAGCTCGCCCCCTCAACTGCCGCACGTGCATGCTGCTCTCTTTCAACACATAAACTCTGAGACCTAGTGCCGAGTACGTAAAAAGCAACGACAACACGGGACTTCCATAAGACATGACCTTTACTTTACGTTTACACTGTAATTTCTAGATAGACGGGTCTTTTTCATGCGGTCCCTTTGCTTCGCTAAACCACCAAATGATGATGCAAAGGTACACAGAGGTCGGGCAATGTTGCCTCAATCCCCACTTGCTGATCTCTTTTAATTTTCTTTGAGGGCCCGTTCTTGCTCGCAAAGATACTTTTGGGGGCCCCTTCTTGCTCGTAGAGGTTTCACTGTTAGATTCTCGGAATTGATTTTTGCTCCAGGGTTGTCGGGTTCAGGGCTGTCGGGCTTGTGGAGGATTTTGGGACTAGGAACTCAATGGCTCTGGGGTGTTAGAACTTGTGCTTTTAGAGCTTAAGTCGTTGAGATTTTCAGCACTCACAAGTGTGACAAGCCTGCGAGGTTTTTGTGGTTCGGGGCTTGGGGGCTTCAGGATTAGGGTGTGGCATCAGGGTCCGACAAGCTTGAGACACGAAAGCACCGGATGAATAATCCCAAGACTGGTGTGCCAAAGGTGCCAACATCGTCTTCTTGTCGATAGCCATCTCCTGCACTCCGCAGTTGCAACAGAACTAGACCCTGCATGGGACGAATCGGGACGAATCCACGGTTAAATGCTGCCCAGAAGAAGTTAGGGTAGGCGCAAGCACTCCCGCCTTGCTTCAGCCCCCGACACTTGACTTTGCTCAAAACCTATACCTAAGCCCCATAGGAAAGGGAACCCTAAACCACAAAAAAAATCCAAAACGCTAAACCTCTAGTACACCCCACAGTACGCACTTTTAGATTTAGGTAAAGTACGTAAAGTAAGTAATGTGATGTAATATAAGGGAATATAACTTAATACAATGTAACATTACGTAATGTAAGTTTGTAAGTATTTACGTACGGGGCGGTACGTCTGATTTATGTTTTGCTTAAAGGGTGCATGCTACGACGTCTGCTACGAACCTGCACAGAACAATTACCCCTAAGTCATACAAGTCCTAGCAATGAAGGCTAGTAGATCATGGGGCTCTTTTCAGTGCAGAGCCTTATACTTCTCGTCTCAACCATGAAGATGCTGGAAAAGCTAAACTGTCACCTGGTGATGTTCAGACACGAAAGCATGTAGGGCATAGCATTCAAAAGCTAAGGGCTTTGGGGGGTGAAGCTGACCAAAGCGACCCCGAGACTCTCACGAATTCAACGCTGGACCTGTCGAAGTTCTTGGCTTCAAGCCGGATCAAGTCCAAAACTCTCAACTGCCAGCCTTCATCTTAACAGAAAGGCCTGGACCGGAAAATGGCGCATCTCAAGGTCGTAGTGCCTAAACCCCAAAGAGCAGAAACCACAAATCGGGCCTCCCAGATCCGCGTGAGGTGACGGCGAACCCGGACGAGGCCAGTATTCCGCAAAACTTCCGAGACCTCCATCTTGACAGCTTGACGAAAAAGGTTCAGGGTTTAGGGTTTAGACTGCTTCAAAGGATGTCTGCTTAGCTTTCCGGGACTGCATTTCGGAGTTCTTGGTTAGAGTTTATTGTACGTTGTGTAGAGCTGGCAAGAGAGCCCAACACCCCCTTACTCACAATCCTCATAACTAAGCAGCAAAGTATGTCATGTCAAAGGTATCTCCATAGTTTTAGAAATATTCCGTACTTAAGGGGGAGCAGTGGGCAATGACACATAGATGCATGGGCATCTATGTTGTTGATGCTCTAGGGGGTAGTGCGCTCTCTGCATGCCTGCTTCCGATTCAACTCCTCCTTGCCGTCCTCGCAAGCTTCCTTCGGAGAGGGGTGTTCAGTTCTATCTTAGAGTGTTGTTGCCTCCTGCATGGCTGAATCAGGATTTGGGGCTCAGGTTCTTCAGCTACGAGGCTGCAACCTGAAGCCCCTAACTCTGATGGTGCTGTGAGACAGCATTCCCAGCGAGGCTTGAGACATAACAGAGCCGAGGGCCTTCGGAAAATGGTCCACGAGCAAAAGTCTGCGACCCCAGGCACAGCTGAGGTGATCAGAAACCGTATTTCTACACCGAGCTACCAGAGGTGTTCGCTTGAGCATGACCATTCGCGACATCAGCTCGACGAGTGATACAAAAGAAGCTGCTTGTTGAACCTGTCTCCATCACCATCCACGAAAGGCCCAAACGAAGTCCCATTTTCCGTACAAACAAGATATGCAAGCCCTGCATGTTTAGACTTCTGGAAAAGCCATGAGACTGCAGAGTGCACTGTTGCCAGGCCGGCCGTATTTGCAAACCAGGCTGAGAGTCTTCTTCCAGGGCTTCGCGATTACAAGTGAAAACACTGGGATGTTGCTTAGGCCTTGAGACAACGGAACAAGCAACTCAAGTCTAACCACGGATCGCGCATCCCTAAATCCAACCCACACCTGTCCTGGAACATGGCCCTATAGGAAGCGACCTCCTCCGCTTCAAGATACCTGCAGGGCCCAAAAACCAAACAGGGGTAGAGTCCGAACTCTCAAGGCTTGTGGTAGCGGGTCAAGAACCGGCTTAAACGCATCATTTCGGGTTGGGCACTTCCATCTGACCAAGGTCTAGCGACCAGGTCCGTGCCTAAAGGATTATTTTGGTGCTTTTTTCTCGTGAGAACATCTGGGGTCTCAATACGGAGCCCAAGAAGAGGGATCCCCAGGACCCAAAACCTCAAAGAGCCCGAAATTAAGATGCCCCGGTTTCTGAAACTCCCATCCCCCAGAGCCCCCTAAACCGGATGGGCATCCTTGCTAAACCCCCAGCCTGAACCCCTACAGTAGAAGCCAGAAAGTTGGAATATCATTATCGGAACCCCTTTAAGGTAAATCATAGGGGATCCTAATTACCCTTAATCCATATTCCAACTTTCTGGAGTTCCCTTTAAAAGAGGCTAAGAGTCCCCAGCTGCACGCGAACTCTCTTTGGCTCGAGGCGTGGTGCCGCAATCTAAAGTGGGGGTCTTGTATTGTTAGAAGGCCTTGATAGTTGAAATAGGGCTTAGGGTTTAGGATTGTTAGAAGGGGTTTTGGTGTAGATGCACGGTAGTATATCTACATCCGGGAGCCATACGGAATACTGTATTCCTAACACTAAGCTCTCTATAGTATCACCCGGCGAACATGCCGGTGTGGCCGAAGGCCGTCACTGAACCAAACCTTCACTCTTCGAGCCTCTTTTGTGAAAGCTGGGAGAGGATCTTGTTGAGGTTTTAGGGTTTAGCTAACCAGTGCTTTTGGGGCTCCCTTGGCTCTTTAGCTCCTTATGTAATAGGGGTTCTCATCATCCCTGGCTCCTTAGCTCCTCCAAAATCAAAGGTTGGTTAGGGCTTACGGTTTAGCGCTCAGGGATCGGTAGCGTGCAGAGGCAGAAGCCTGGTTTAGGACGGAGAGTTTTGGACACCTCCCCTCTGCTTGCTTTGCGAGTCGAAGTGTCTAGTTCTGCGAATCGCGTCGACACCAGAGACGCTGTCAATAGAAACCAGAGTACGAAGCCAAGTCTCAGATACATCCCCAACCCAAATCCCGCAATTGTGGGAGGCAAGTCGCTCGCGATAGTTGATGATCTTCTGTGCATTCGTCATGCATGTCCACAGCGCACAGAAGGAAGGCAAGTCCAACCAGCCGTCGGCTGCAGATTTCACCTCCGACCTGGGGTTGGGTTGAGGTAGAGCCTAGCATGGAACGGTTGATGATATAAATCCTGCACTACCCATAATAAGGAATATACCATAATTCCCATACTTTAAGGTAATGCAGGATTTTCATCATCCACCGAAGGATCTCGAACTGAGACATGCCTGCAAAAGTGCTCAGAGTGGCTTCAGGAGGACAGACGGCTGCTTCAGCTTCTGCAGGTGGCAGTTGCTGTCTGGTTTCGGATCCCCTAAACCCTAAACCCTATACCCTAAACTCCCTAAACCCTATCCCCGAAACCCTGAACCCTAAACCCTACACCCCAAACCCTAATCTCTGGATCTTGGGGAGTCGGGGGAGTCCAGGCTCAAAGGCTTCTACTCAGTTGGGAAGTCCGCAAACACCGCTCTAAACCCTACGCCGAAACTTGCCGGGTCCAAAACTACGGTTGATGATATATATATATATATATATATATACTGCATTACCCATAATAAGGAGTATACCATAATTCCCATAGTTTAGGGTCCTTAAGGTAATGCAGGATTTATATCATCAACAGTAGGAGGTGCTTTTAAAGCCTTTGAAAACTACTAGCAGGTAAGATCCTCTATTAAGCCCACTAAGAGCAAATAGAAAATGTCCCAAATCCCTACCCAGAAAACTAGCACATCTTGAACTGGGACATCGACTCACTTGGAACCGCCAGCCATCGAACTCAATCAACCGAACGTTCAGCGATCCTTTCGTTTAGGCTTTCAGGGCTCCCCTAAGCCCTAAGCCTTAAACCCTAAAGCCCTGAAGCTCAGGGACAGGAGAGCCGTGACATCATCCATTGAAACCTTGACGTCCTGCTGCTCAGCAATTTTCCTGAACGAGTCTGCTACATGGTCGGAATAGGGTTTAGGGTTTACAAATGACAATTTCTATTCCTTCTTGGCCGAGCATAAGTACCTATAGAAATGTCAAGTGTTACCCAACTATGACAAAGGAGTGAGGGCTTCCTCTAGCGCCTTCTGGATACCGCGCACATGACATAATCTTGAAGGGCCGTCGCAAGTTCAGTGCGGCATACATCGCATAACTATTCCGGGTCTGCAAGGGGATACTACCACTACGTCAGACTTCTAAGGTAAAAGCCAGAAAGTTGGAATATGATTATCCTAACCCTTCTATGGTAAACTATAGGGTATCCTACCATGAAACCATATTCCAACTTTCTGGAGTTCCCTTTATAAGTATAGTATAACGGGTCCCAAAACCCTGTTCTAATCACTGAGGCCCCTACATTATAGAACCCTACTATAGATTCCTTTAAGGAATCTAGTAAGCCTTGTAGTATATGCCCGAAACCTCTTTCTTGGAAGCGCGTGCTTCGGATGTGGCGCTCAAGCAGGGGAAGCTCCATGTTCATCAGATACTTGGAAGGGCAGGGGACTTGGTAGGGGCTCTTAATAAGGGCTCCTTAAAGGGATCTATAGGGTTCCTTAAAGGGATCTATGGGGTTTGGGATTTAGGGTCTACTTGGAAGGGCAGGGGACTTAGTAAGTAGGTTATAAGGTAGAGTTATAAGTACGCTAAATGGAGTTACCCCAATTATAACCCTACTTATAACCTACTTACTAAGTCCCCTGCCCTTCCAAGTAATACACCCGAAGCACTAGATGCCAAAAGGGTATGTTTAGTAGGGCTGCTTCGGAAGTCAGACGTACTTGGAGGATCATGGGACTTAGTTAGTAGGGATATAAGTACTTCAATAGGGGTTATAAGTAACTATAACTGTAGTTACCTTACCTATCACCCCAATTACTAAGTCCCATGGTCCTTGAACTTAATAACTAGAATAGGGTTTTGGCGCCCATTATACTGTCATTATAATAAGGGACCCCCAAAATAGTTTAGGGAATTATTGACTGAGGCCCCTATATTCGGAGCTTGCGAAGGACAGGCTGAGGTTCGAACCGAGTATACGAATCAACAGTTGAAGCGACTGGGTCAGTGTGATAGGGTTTCGACGCTCAGGGTTTAGGGTTTAGGGTTTCAGTGTGATAGGGTTTAGGGTTTAGGGTTTCGACGCTCACACTCGCGGTTTAGGGTTTAGGGATTCACCGGGCGGTTTGAACTAAACAGAACCGAATTGCGGAACAATAGCAACAACAAACATACTCAATAAGAAACATGATCACAACACGCAGTTGCCAAAAACACAATAGCAAAAAACAACCATGCCGGGATTTCATAGCATTAACATGGGCACTATTTGTAAAGTATCAACGTGAACCATAATGTACTTGCGTTTGGGGCCTGGGGCTGTAGCTAGAATTGCTGGTGGCGAGTCGCAGGGCATCATCAATGGAGATAGCTCCCGAGTCGTCCATGTCGTTCAATGAGAACCACTGCTCCAACTGCTTGATGGTGTTTTCCTTAGATCGACGGCACCTTGCTCATCACGTGGGCTTCATGCTTCAGTCAGGATGACAGCAGTAGGAACATACGCCCGAAGTGCGAAGGCGGAGAGGGGGAACCTCCAACGGAGGTGCAACGTCAGGACCCTCACCTCTTATGTAAGCTTGCCGTCGTTTGCGACTTACCTTTGGTGAGTAGGAAATGGAAGAATGGTAGTAATAGTAGTTGTAATTGTATCCCTTTCCTCCATTCCCTACTAACCAAAGGTAAGCCTTAGGATTTTTGCAGACATCCGGCCTCAATTCTTAAAGCGTCCATCCCAATTTTCTTAGTGTACTAACCAAAGGTAAGTACAGCGAAAACCTGGAACTGCGGCCGGCGAGTCTGGTAGGAAAGTCTTGTAGTCGATCAAATGGGCCTGAGGCCGTGCACCAGACCTGAGCATGAGGAAAGAATAGTAATACAGTTTTATTCAATATAATATGATATGATACAAATCTGATTTAAGATGATGTAATGTGATATAATAGAATAATAGAGTAGAGTATGATACAACATAGTAAATTTGGTAAGCTAGTCCGGATCGTTTTCGGGCCGTTCTGTTGAGAAGTCGAATTTCTGGCTTGGAGCTTTCGGGAGCTACAGTGTTGTGACCAGTAGCTGCGTGGCACGTCCCATCCTCGGCCTGCAGAGTCTGAAGGTGCTCCGATGGGTTTAGGGTTCTTTTACGCTGTATTGAGTTGAGTTGCTGTAATTCTTAACGTGACCCTTATAGTAGCCCTCAGTGACGGCGGCAACGCGCCAAAGCCACGCGAGACTCGTCGAGCGAAGTGACAGCCGAAGCGCCAATTGAAGGGACCAAAACTGCCGCCACTTCGACTGTGCCAATGAATGGGCGGCGGATGTTGATTTTGTCGGTGTGACAATTGCGGAGGCAAGACAAGCCGCCCGATACTTGGGAGTAAGCCTTTCAGAAAACTAGAAAGGATTTAAGACGTACTGCTATGCCTGAGGCCATGGACTTTGCTGATTTTTCGACAGAGAAGCAAAGACAGAAAGGCAGTTTTCGTGACACCAGCTGGGCGTGTGGCGACAGCTTGTGCAAAGGTTTCAGCAGGTTTCGCACTTTGCCGTCCGTTTTTGTCATGCCTCTCATATGGCTCCTTCGCATTCTCAACGCCTGCAATTGCCAGGCTCGTCCCATGTTAAACCATCAGCGCTCCCGTAATGCGCAGAATTTTGTCACTGACAGACTTTCGCCCGCATCACAGCCTGGACTAAGTGCTCCGGGGCTTGTGGGGCAATCCAGGTTTGGAGACCGATTGGCCTTCTGGACTTGGAGTTTGAAACTGACTAATGTACTGTCATATTCTATGACCTACTCTAAGGTACTGAAAATTTTAGGCCCGAGGCGTGCGTGTGCCACATCAGCGGGCTCAGAAGCTGCGATCGATATGGTTTGGCTATGCCCCCGCACAAAGAGGTAGTGGTATAATCTTTCGTATCATTCGGCTGTCATAATACGGGAACCATACAATAATAAGGGAACCATACAATAAAAAGGCCAAAAGGGCATTACTCGGGAACGTAGTGTGAACTGTGGTCACTCTTAGTGGGTGGTGGATATGGTTATGTTCGAAGATCTGCTTGTCTATTCCAAAACCCTCGGACCTGCACCCTAAAATAAACATCAAAACCCAAAGCACCAGTAAAAATCCTAATTCCCGAAGGCTAAAAAGCCTCAAGCCCTTAGTTAAGTGGCATCACAATCTCAAGGTAGCAGAGCTCCTCGAAATCGATCTCTCCATTCCCATCCTTCGAGATAGCTTCGACAATACGGTTTACAGGTTTAGGGCTTCAGGGGTTTCTCTCACTGACACTTAGACAATCTAGGCTGGCTTCTGGCTCCAGGGTTTTTTTTGCACGACCCTTTTCCGTCTCGCAGGATTCAGAAAGTGAGTTCTCACTGGGCGTTTGGTCTCGCTTGTTGTAAGCTGAACCAGGAAAACACAAGATCTCTCCAGGGGTTTAGGGTTTAGGGGTGTTCTTGTTCTGGCTGGTGACTTTGGGTTTTCGGTTTTAGGCTTATAGCTCTAAATGGGTTTGAGCTGAGGGTTTTGAGATTTCTGTAGTTGTCTGGGTCTTTTATATGTTGACTGCTGGCGGTAAAGGGTTCAGGGTGTAGGGTGCCTGCCAGTCATGATCTCTGGAGTATCGGCACCCCGTTTCGCACAAAAGCCAGCTCTGCAACCAACACGGTGCTTTGGCCTAGAGTTTGGCATGTGACTCTAAAAACATTATCAGCAACCTCACAGAACACTGTTGCTATCTGTACTAGGCTATAAGCTATAAGTATTCGGAACAGGGTCACCCTCTCGGATAAGCCATCTTGGTGCTTCGTCGGTTGGAGGTTGTTAAACCAAAGCCTTGAGTTGAAACCACAACCCTACACGGGTGACACGATCATCAGATATTCAACCCTACAAAGCTAAACCTAGGAGACGCTAAACCTCTATGTTGCAGAGAGGGTAGTGAGAAGCGTGTCACACCCAGGGGAGTGCGAAGGGAGGTCATGTGTTTGCGTTAAGGGTTTGGGGTTTTGGGGTTCAGGAAGTTCGGGTGAAAGGTTCAGGCTCACAGTCTCTTGCTGTCAAGGATCAGAATCGATCTCTCGAACGATTGCATCGACTTGCTTCTTCGTCAATGTCTTGCCGAGTTTGGCGAACAAGTCACCTGCAGATCTGCAAAAGGCGCTTGCTTCTATGCGAGCCCTATAATGATTAGAAGAGGACTTAGGGTATCTTACAGGGGCGGTAGATTCGTAGATAGATAAGAAGGCAGCTATATAGCATACACCTGCATGCCTGTATATACACACACCTATAATACATACATGCATACCTACCTACATAGATACATACGTGCATACATACAGGTATACAAACAGCCAAATATGTTCGTATGGTCTGCGTGCTGTACATGCGTACTGTTAGCAATTCTTCAAGCCCCTATAGTGCCGCCAAGCAACAAAGCCATGGCGAGGGTTGACATCACAACTGTGAAAAGCCCCAACCCGTTGGTTGAAACCACCAGGGATACTGGCAGTTTTGCACGGCCATTCCGTATTCCTGCTGTAGCACTATTACTGTGCGAACGGGCCTAACCCAAGCTATACGTGATAATGGGAAGCTCGACAATGCAATACTGGGTTCTTGAATTAACTTACCATAATAAAGAAACCAGACTATCCACTATAGAAGCGCCGCAGCAGCCTCTTGACTTGATTGGGCCTTTTCCAGTTCTCGGGAGAGGACACAGGAGTTTCCGACATGATGAACCCTTCTCAGGGCAAGACAATGATTGTACGCAGCATCGAGCATAAACTAGTATACTTCCATGATCTTAGATGATGTATTCATCTTTCTGTATCTATCAGGACCCTCCATGTACACGCAATAATTGTTTATGGCTCCAAGTTATGGGCATTTAGGGTCTTATAGAGGGCGGTAGAGGGTGGATGGAGGGTCTAGGTATCTGTGATTTTTCACATCTGCTAGTTGAGGGTTTCTGATTTTCTATTTGTTGCCGCAGCGTGGCGAAGCTCATCTTTCCCGATGGATCCGTCGCCGCTGGTGTCGAACTCTAGGAAGGCTTTCTCCAAAGCTTCGAGCGTCTCCTGCTTCATAAAGGGGCCTCAATAATGAGAATAGGGTTTTGGGGCCCCTTATACTCTAATTATAATAATAAGGAGCCCCAAAATAGTTTAGGTGATTACTAAGGCTCCTATACTAAATCCTGATAATAGCCCTTTTAAAAGGGAACCCTATTCTAATTATTAAGGCACCTATATTACCGTCTCGGAAGCAAAGGTTCCTTCTAAGGTTCTGTTCGGGTTCTGGTGTGGCGGTTGCAGGTTTCAGGGCTGAAAGCGTTGGGGTTGGGATTCGAGGGATTTACGGGTTCGGGATTAAGAACCAACGTTGGGGTTTGAAGTTTGGAGTTTAGTGTTGGGATTTAGCTGCTTTTTTTCATGCTCCAACTTGCCAACCCAAAGTCTGCCACCGACCGATGCTATCTGTGGTTCGTCCAAGCTTACAGCTGAAAAGCCTGCCTCCACACATGCTGAGAACTAAGCTCCAGCTCCAGACTGACCCTCCTAGTTACCCAGAGACTCCAAAACCCCTTAATTCAGGAATATACTTTAAACTATAGTAGGATCCCTAATATGATTTAAGGTATATTCCTTAATTAAGGGATATTGGAGTCTCTGGGTACACTGATCCGAATGCCACAGCTAAGGAATACTTGCAGCCCCGTTCATCCAGCACCGTGCGCCCCTGGACCCTGAGCTCTCTTGAAATCACAGCACAGGAAGGCCTGGTCGAAGTAATCTTTGATGTCTATCTCGCCGATGGTCATGCTGGTAGTGCCAGTTGGTGAAAGCCCAGTTTTGGGGGCACCGACTAAAGCTCCAAAGCCTGCAACCCTTGTTTGAGGTACTGTCGGTACTGTGACTTGTGCGCGCCACGCAGCCATGCAAGTAATTGTTTGATGGCTCATGCTTGGAAGCTAGCAGCTAGCGTTCGATGCGACAGCAACATTGCTGTAAAACCGCAACCTAGTAAACCTCTACTACTCTACTACTATCCTTCCTGCTGCCTTCGTGCTTGATGACCTCGGGTCCCTGGACTCTCATGAGCAGGAATATAAATTTGCTTCGCTCAAGGCTGCGCAGCCTCAGCGAACTCCACCTTGAGCCAGGACAGCAGTTGCCGCCACACCACTGCACCCCACTGATAGACCTTCGGACATTGCCCTGGCACCTTGACCCCAATACCTGCATTCATGGTTAACATGGGCCCGGCCCGCGACTTGTCGGAAGCTCAACTTAATCAAATTCAACAATGCATCTTTGTTGTCCGCTCCGAACTTGCACACTGACCTTCGACAGATGTAAATCTCGGCAAGTGGA